TCAACATTTCTACTGCTACAATACTTGATCTCATGATCGAAAGACCGTGACTTCTACCTTCTCAGGTTTTTATTTGATGATTTTCCTTTCCCTTCCTATGTGATAAATAAATACTCAATGGCGACTTCATTGATTCACTGTCAATGATTTGTTCCACCAGTTCCTTCAACTAGGGACTTCACTGGGGAAAGATTGACCAATCACTTGTCCATCCCGTGAGTCACTCATAGGTCTTGTTTTTATTTTCTTTGGGTGTTTATATTTATGCTTTATATCTTATTCATTTGTATGTATCTGAGCATACGCATGCATTGCATTTTATTGCTTTCCATATTGATTACATGTTGCATTGGATCTGGGCTTCTTATTGGGTGGGTGTTACAATGAGGTAAAAGGCCCAGTACCTTGGCCGGAGTGATGCATAATAGGAACTCTAGGAATAGAGTGGAGCAGGGCTTCTACTGGATCAAGGTCCATACTTGCATGATCAAATGGTCTGCGCTTGGTTGAGGTTCAAATGAGTTGTTATCGCCACACACGTCTGTTGTAAAGACGATAGTATTCTCAGCCGAACCCATGATTCCAAGTCACCTTTTTCCTACCCTGACCTAGTTTTCACCCGTGAGTGGGGCGGGAATATATCTTTATAGGTACAAATGGTGACTATGTTCTAATGGTGACTATGTTTTGTTGGTGACTTCGGTTCCTTGGTATTCTGATATGTTATGGACCTTTCATCCTATGACATCTAATTGTTATCAACAACTATTCAGTATTGTAGAAGCTTTGATCCCACATGTTTGCATACATAGCATGTTAATGTTATTATTAGCATACATGTTCCTTTGTTTCTAAGCATCATTTCTTTGATTTCGATTGTTAAGCCGCTAAAAATGAATATTGTTAAGAAAGACATCATAGCTTAATAATAGGAATCAAAGCGTACAAACTCTTGGAGACATTTTCAAAATTACTTAGGATATTTTTCTTCTACTTAGGGTGGCATTAGAAATTCCTTTAAATTAAGGGACTAGAAGTCTAATTAAGATATTTTAGATGGTTTGCATGCTCAACATATTTTAGATGCATACTGTGGAGAAGGTTCTACTGTGGCGAAATATGTTTTATATGCAATCACTCTAGTCGTTAACTTATGGCTAGGAGGAAGATGTCCCATGAGTGTGGAAGAGTTTGTTGCCTCTGCACCCTTGACATTATTATTAAAGCCTGATGGTGGGATACGACCAATTGTTATGGGTTGTATTTATAGGCAGTTGATATCCCAGGTTTCTATGAAAGGGGCCGGTAAAGATATGATGTAATACCTTAATGACTTTCAGGTTGGGGTTGGGGTATCGGGTGGTGCTGAGGCCATTTTGCATAGTTCTAACACGGTGTTAAGCAAGCGACACAAAGATGGTTCCTTGGCTATGATCACTGTAGATTTTTCGAATGCTTTCAACATAGTGGATCGTCAACCTTATTGTGTGAGGTGAGGGTGAGATGCCCATCTACTTCTTTGAGGGTTGAGTTTATTTATGGCCAATCAACAAGGTTGTACCTTGGGGATGAACATATTATGTCATCCACTAGAGTGCAACAAGGTGATCCGTTAGGACCTCACCTTTTTGTTCTAGTGTTACACCCACTCAATCATCAGGTTAGGGACAATTTAAAGCTTCTTCTTCATATCTGGAATCTTAATGATATGACTATTATAGGGGATTCACAAGAGGTGGCTAAATCCCTTGATATTATTTGGAAGACAGGTCCAAGATTAGGTCTTGAACTGAATATTTGTAAAACTGAGATATTTTTGACTTCATGCGATGATAGTAAAGTTCATAAGGATCTGTTCCCGTCAGAAATTGGGAGGCTGCTGTTAGGGAAGAAGTTTCTAGGAGGGGATGTTAGTGGGGATGACGGTTTCATTAAGGAGTTGTCTAAGAAGTAAGCTTCCAAGGCTATTGATTTGATGCACCTTTTATTACAACTAAGATATCCTCAAAGTGAGCTTATTCTACTTCGATCCTGCATGGATATTGTCAAATTGTTTTTTGGCCTAAGAACGTGTCAACCTACTCATATGGAGGAAGCAGTTGTTTAGTTTGATAAAGAGTTATGGAAGACGGTTGAAGATATTATGGTTGGTGGAGGTCCTTTCTTCGGGGACCTTCAATGGTGGCTGACTTCATTATCCATTAGAGTTGGGGGTTTGGGTTTTTAATCGGCTGTATAGGCTACCTCGTACGCCTTTCTGACTTCTAAGGCCCAATCTTGGATGTTGCAGAATCATATATTGAGACACAATGGGGTGTATGGTATGGACTCGGATTTCAATAAAGTTTTGGATGGTCTTAATGTTGAGATTCCAGATTTTGACCTTAGTAATTTTACTAGTAAGGACATCGTCCCTCCTAAAGCATGACATGTTTTGGCGAGTTCCATTTTTAGTAAAATTGTTAAGGACATGGATGTGAAGTTTGACATGACACCAAGGTAGAAGACAGTTTTTGGTTGTTTACAAGTTGCACATGCTCAGGACTTTCTCCTTGCTATTTCTATTGATGGGCTAGGCCAAAATATGACGCCGGTGGAGTATCGTATTATCCTAAGATATCTCCTTATGATTCTTTAATTTCCTATTGATGATGTTTGCCTTGTTTTTCGTAAAACATGTTTGGATAAATTTGAGGAGCACACGATACATTATAGAGAGCTTCGAGACTTTAAATACTGACATGACCTTGTTAGGGATGTCTTTTTGATATATTTCAATGTGTCAGAGTATCTGTGAAGAAAGAGGCGCCTGTGAATTTTTTGACTGACCTAGTTGAGGGGAGATCGACACTTAAGCCAATCGATATTTTAGTGTACGAATGGGTAGGAGGGAAAAACATGCTTGTGTGGACTTGGCAGAAGTTTCTTCACTGGTGGATTTGAGGGATGATGGTTTTACTGTGGAACAGGTAACTCTCAAAGATGCTCTCAGTAAAGTGGTTAAACATGAGAAAGCGTGTTCTGAAAATCAATATGTTTTTATACCATTTGCCTTTGACACTAGTGATTTCCTAGCATCAGAAGTAATTGAACTTTTACTGAGAGTTCAAAGACTTATGAATAATAATGTTGTATCTCCTGGGTCTATGGATGTAGTTTTTAAGAGGATTGATTTTGCGATCCAAAAAGGAGTATCGGTGCAACTTGTTGTCCGCTTGCCTTCTATATCTGTATTGGTCTAATTTTTCAATTGAAAATTTAAATAACATAGTAAAAAAAATTATATTTGGTTTTCAATAAAAAAATTTTATTTTATTTTTTAATATCAAATATTTCTTATATTTTATTTATATCATATTAAATTTTAATTTTAATTTCAAAATTTTATTGTGCTAGAGAAAAATAACTAACTAACTTTCTTATTATATTCTATTAGTTTCTAACCTAACTCGAATTTAATATAAATAGTTTCGCAAGAGAGATAAATTATGTAAAGTTTAAGATTAATTTATCATCTCTCTTTGTCTCACCAGATAATTGGTTGAGACATCATATAATACATTTAGTATTATCATATATCTTATTCAGCTTACCAAACTAACTTTAAAGTTTTTAATTTTTGTACCAAAAATAAAGAGCTTTTAAATGAGCGGAAAGTGTCAATTACTAATAAGCATTTTGGGGGAAGCAAAACCTTGACAAGGATTTTCCAAACCACATGGTTTACATATATAGAAACAGTAGGTGCTTATTGTCTTGTAATTTTTTAAGCACTTGTCAGAGTTGTTTAGTGATCAATAAAAAATAAACAAAGCTATATAATAAGATTAAGAGATAGAAAAAATAAGAAGAAATATCTAAAAGAATAAAGAAGATGATTCAATTTCAATTTCAACTAGAAATTATCGGTTAATTTAACATTTTATTTGAACAAAAATTGATTTTATTTTCTTAGGTTTGACTATTTGAGTGAATATCGAAATTAATCTTTGATAAAAATAATGGAAGCCTATATAGTTTACTTTTAACTAAAAAAGAAAGCCAATTTAGTCATTTAAAATTGAAAATAAAACTATTAAACTTTTGAATTTCTCAAAGATAAATAAATTAGTCTTTTTTTTTAGCGCAAAAATTAATCTTTTCTTAAAAGTATCTTTTATGAATATTTTAGTTCGTTTGTAACAAACTAAATTTATCAATAATTGAGATTTTAAATAATTAAATTTTTATTTTTCACAATTAAGTAAATGTATATGTGTCACTACTATAATTTTAATTTAATAGCGTTTTTTATAAAGCGCTATTACAAACTTCACACGCAGATTTATTTTTGGCGCTATGATAAAAGTTACCTTATAATAGCGCTTTCTAGAAAACGCTATTATAGGATGTTAACAAAGTGACTATTATTGACTGATTAGACTTTCTAATAATTTTGTTGATTCATATATATTCATTGAATTGGATTGTTAGTTATTAGGTTGCTATAGACTTTGTGACAAGGAACGTTGGGTTGGTTGGTCCAAGAACGTTTGGTTACTCTTTTGAGATTACTACACCAACTAAAATTATTGTTACTATGCTTCTACAAATTAAATGGGTCTCACTCTCAACCAGACACACACAGGTGCCATTTCTCCCTATGTTATTCATGACTATGATTGAATAATTTTATTTTTCCATGATACTAAACTGAAATTATTTATTGTTTTGAAAAGAAAAGACAAAAAAGACACTAGTAGGAATTATTGTAAGGCTTGTTGATTCCTCAATTCAATCAGAGTTTTGTGTCTCTACATGAAAGTGAAGGCGCATACCATTTCAATGTTAAAAGTATTTTTTATTTGGAATCAATGTTGGCTTTACATTGCTTATGCTTATTTATCATATAATCTATCTCCAATGCATCCAATCAATTTTGGTTCTTCAATTTAGTTTCATTAGTTTTTTTTATACAAATTTAGTTTCATTAATTTACGTAAGGCTAATAATGTAACCTCTTATAAATATTTAAAATCAAATTGAAGTAAGTAATCGCCATTACTTGAATCTAGCTTGGAGGCTTTTGCAGCAGATTTATATGCACTGTCCCGATATGACAATGCCAACACCCGACCTGCTCTACTGAATTTTGAAGCTTCTCAATTATTGAATATCAACAACCGAAGTCCCAACAAAATGGGGCAGAGACCCAAAACTAAAATTATGAATTAAGACTTGCTCAACTTAAGCATCAATTTTTATAAAAATGGTGAGGGAATATGTGATACTTACAGTGTTGAGTGAACTCACTTACCTCGATACTTCTATTCCTTTGCATCCCTTCCCTTCCGCTTCTGATCCTGCTCTGAGACCTTTCAGACCAGTTCTCCACTGCTACTGAAACACGTCGGTCATCAAACATTGCAGGAGGCGTTGCCGCTGCGCTTGCTGTTTCTTCTGTTGGCTCCTTTGAACTTCTTATGGTCTCTGAAATTGTCGTTGGCATCGCAGTTAGTATGTCGCACAAATCTATGAGGAGAAGTTCTCAAAATTGAAGACGGTTTTGGATCCGCTCTAGCATTTGAATTCAGTGGTCTCTAATCTTCAAGCTCTTCATGTGGGAGGCTGCATCGATAAGTTGCAAATCTTTCAATTAGTTTGTTTGGAAAAGCTGGAAAACAATGAATTGGTAAAACTTGGCCTAATATAAATTATAAATATAAGGTTTTAATACCTTTACTACATACTAATATGTATAAATTTAGAAGCTTTTATGACATTATAAAATATGATGATTTCTTACCCCACTCTACGTAGAAAAATTAAATCCTATGCAATTTTTATAATGCTTTTCTAAAATTTGAAGTATATCTTTGGTGCACATCTTTTTTTGAAAAATTTGACTTAAAACAGGAAGTATATTTCCAGTTTTAAACCGGCAATATATTTCTGGTTCTGATGCTGTCAGTAGCAGAAAAACCAAAAAAACAAGACTTGCAAGAAAATATATTTCTCGATTTTTTGCATCACAAATTAAAATTTGTACAAACTATACAAATCACAAATAGAACAAAAGACACACGCGCGCGCGCACATATATATATATATATATATATATATATATATATATATATATATATATATATATATTTATTGTGATAGAGTCAAACGCAACCCCAAAATGTAATCCAAGTACAAATACGATACAATACAATATCAAAAAACTAAAACCAAAATACAAATGCATCAGCATAAACTACTGAGTATGGCGGATATTGAGTCGGCCTGTCACCCTCGAGGCGTCCCTTCGCTGCCTCATGTAACAGAGTCTCTTGAGCCTCCACCATGATGGCATCCAAAACATCTCTAACATCGGATCCATCAGGAAACAACCCTCTGTCAATACCATCCTGCACAAGCTCCATGATACGACGACATCTAGGCAACACGTCATGAGCATGATCCCTTCTAGCCTCCTCCTCCTCTAGGATCTCCTGATAAAGGCCTCGGTGGGTTCCCTGGAGCATCCTGTACCATGTACGGATGAGACACCTTGAAGAACCAAATTATGTATTTGTACTCGTAACTCCAGTCGTCTGATGCTAGGGTACTCTTGGCCTCATTAGGAACAAGATGATTCTCAAAATCATCAAACATAGCATCCATATCCCTCTGTTTCACAGTCGAAGGAGCACATATAGCAGGATCCCGGGGAATGTCTAGGTAAATCCGTACTGACGCATCAACCGCTTAGGTATATAAGGAGCAGTCTTGCGAATCCCGCAAGCCAACAAACCGGTAAATAACACAACCTCGTCAAACAGTATCGTGACACAGTGGTCGACGTATGAACTGAAGTGAATGTTCTTATGCCCTAGCCGGTCAATGTAAACCCGGAACAACTCTATCGAGTGTTTACCTTGAAGCGGGTCGTATGCACAGGCCCACAACTTATCTTCAGTATAACTCGTAACATATGACCAACCTGAGAAGCGGGGGAAAAGTTGTAGGATCCATCCCTGAAATAACAAAATTAAATAGTTAATTCTGGAATCAAAATAATTAACAAAGGCATCAAAGACAAATAATTTATACTATCATGAGTGACATGCTTCCGATATTCTGCTTCGTATCCCAATTAATGGCGTCATCCAACTTGGTATACAAGTAAACCAAGCAAGCACCCCCCCCCCCAATTCCACTGGCTGTTAGTCTCAAAATCATCAAAGTGCCACAAGTACATGATATCGGTGTAAGTGACACTGGTGTCTATAAAAAAATGTGTGGCAACAAGATACAAAAGGTATGATCTTATGGAAAACCCCCTATGAATGGTAATCTGCTCGGGATCATAACGAGCCTCTCGTGCACGCCTAATATCATACGTAAACACCCTAGACAAATAGTTATACTTGACGTGGAAACCAAGGGTCCTATCAATCTCTAAAAGACCACTCTCAAAGGTAACTCTCGGTTTCTGAACCAACTAATCCAAGCCTCCTCTTTGCTGATCCTATCATGATCCGAGAAAGTCCCTCTGATCGACAAATGAAGCAGACACGCGACGTCATCGAGTGTGTTCGTCATCTCACCACGTGGTAGATGAAACGACGACGTCTCATGGTGCTACCTCTTATTAAAAGCGTTGATCATACCCTAGTTGATCATGCTGTATCCACTCAGGATCAAATCTTTCAACCCTGTAAGCCGTAAAAGCTTATTAAACCATGGCTCAGCAGGCGGAACAAGTTTATTGATCTTCCTCTCATGGCTAATGACCTTGAGCGTATCACGTTCCTGCATAATAAAATTCAAGTCAAAATTCATAATAAAATTCACAATAAAATTTATAGTAGAAATAAAAATTCAAAATTCATACTTGTTTGTCCCAGATATGTCTACCAGCGTGGTTGGGATAAAGAGGAAGAAGTGATAGATCAAACGTTCCTCCTCCAAAAGCCTGAGGGGCTACAGGTGCAGGCTGAGTTGTTGCAGCCTCAGGTGTCACTGGTGCAGCCTTAGGTGTTGCTGGTGCGGCCTCAGGTGCTGCTGGTGTAGGCTTAGGTGTTGCTGGTGTAGCCTCAGGTGCCTAAGATGACTAAGGAACCGCCTCAGGTGGCGTCTGGGACTGAGGCTCTGATGATTCCTGAGCCTCAGGTGTCGCCTGAGGTACCGAATATGGATCCCACCTCAAATACGCTTGGTAAAGAAGTGTGTCTGCGGGAAGACGGGGTGGCGAAGGGTGAACTGGAGAATCTCGCCTGCAGCTGGAGGACGACGTAGAAGGAAAATAAGCAGGCACATCAGAGGCTGAAACAGTGGGAGGTGCATCTGGTATGGCCTGTTTAGAGGCAGGAGGAGGCGTGATTGTCTGACTCATTTCTCTCCGCACAAAAGCATGATGTGCAACCCTGTCGAGCCTCAATCAAGATGGTCTCTCACTCATTGCTCCTGTAGAAGTAAGAAAGAAATGTTAACATAAGATTCAGTGTGCAAAACAAGGCTTAAAACAGACAGACAAAAACCGAAACTATACTTGCGGTTTTGTTCTTACCAAAACCGAAAATTTAATTATGGTTCTTTCTGCGATTACAAAATAACGCTCATTTGGCGTCCCCGTCCCCCAAATGAGCTAAAATAAGGGCATTGATCATCAAATAAACTTTAGAAACACTTTTCTAATGACTCCTAATGATTGGTGTTGATTTTTCTTGATTAATTGTGTTAGAATGCTTTATTTAACAATTGTTTGATGACTGTTGGTGATTTTTTAACAAAATATTTGATTTATGAAATAAGGATTTGAGAGAGTTTTGTGTTTTGTTTTGAATGGGTTGCTGTAATGTGAGGAAAAGAGGCAATGCGCCATATAGAATTCCTCAAGAAACCAGAAGTATATTCCCGGTTGTAAACCGTAAGTATACTTCCGGTATGCACCTAACCCTTCCAACGTAATTCATGTATAATATGGTGTAAACTGGAAGTATACTTTCGATTTTGAGGACCATTTATAAAATTCCGCATGGTGCGTAAGAAAGTCATGAGGTGGGTTAAGAAATTATCTAAAATATATATTAGGATCTCTACATTAACCTTTAGTTTTTTGATTAAAATATCATATGCATAAACTATTTAGACTATTCACTAATACAAAAAGAGGATTTAACACTAATTTTTTAGATATTTAACACCAATTTTTTACCGCTGTTATAACTACCGATATTGTAAGTATGCCATTTCACGCCTATACATTCTAAAACTGGTTTTTAAAATTCATTTAACACCTTTTATTACTAAACAGAGCGATTAAATGTTGATCTTCAACACCAGGTGTTTAGTGAAAAAGGTGTTAAATGTCACCATCTAACAGCTATTTTAGGTAGAAAATTGATGTTGAATGGCCATAGTTCATTAAAGTTTATTAATAATAAGAGGTATTACGTCTTTTTTATTTTCTAAAATATTTATTTATGCTCTTTTTTATCACGGAATTTAAATTTAGACCGCAATTGACACCAAGTATCCTAACATTCCCATTTAAAATTAAAGTAAATGCAAATGTATAATATAAGAAGCTTAAGATTAAATTTACTACACCCAAGTACAAGTACAAGATGTGGAAGTATGGAACATTACATACAAAAGTTAACTAATGTAGTATTGCCAACTAAAATCAAATTACAATTATAATAATTGTTCTTCTAAACAAAACTTGCTTCTTCGCAATACTACATCGTGGAACCACTTGAAGACAGTTCCACAGTCATGCTTTCTCCGATGATAAATCACTATTATTCTTGTACTAAGCTCAACATCCAAAACTTGCAGAATTTTACAGGGCTCTCTAAGTGTTCATATTAACAGCATACAAGACATTTTAGCAAGGCAGAGACAAAAAATATCCCCTCCTCCAATCACGAGTTCACTGCATGAAGACAAAAGCAAAGGAAATTAACATGTTTATCATAGAATTAATACCACACAGTATTAAAGGCATACATGTTAAATATATTTTGTAACTAATAATTAAGGGTGTATATTATAAATCTTATTATTTTGGATACTTCTCAAAGTTGTTTCAAGAAGCTATCAAGTCCAGATTTAGTGTCATAGAGTTCCATAGTTGCATACCTAAATAGATTAGTGTGTAATAAAATAATACCTTTGAATCGTATGAGAAGTTAGCCACAATGATAAGACCCAATTACTCGAGATACAATTGGAAGCCTAAAATAAATAAGCATTATTGTAAGCCTTTTGATACCAAATCTTGTTCTAATCAAATATGGGACATGAAATGCTAATTTCAATAATTATTGGCTGGCATATAATTTCACCTGTTAGTGTAGTTAGATATTTACACAGGAAAAACAAAATACTTAATTGCTCCCGTCAAAAACTTGTTAATATCCTATTGAAGCATTTGCATAGTATTATTCACCGCTGTTAAATTTTAAAAAACATAATAATATCATGATAAAAGAATGTAAATCCATATTATATTTCAATGCAAAATCGTGTTTATTAAAGACACAACAGGATTTATTAAAGTTGGAGTTTTGGTCGTGTTGTGCTTCCTATTGGCATGAAAACATCCACGGGTTTTACAAAGAACACGGTTCTGAGAGCATAAATATTGAAAGCTTGAATCGAGAGAGTTATTGAGAGAGAGATTTGATTCAAGAGTGAGAGGTTCTGATTGAGAGATATTGAATCGTAAATCTTCAATCGAGAGGGATTGAATCGATCCTAAACACCTTCCATTGTGGTTTTTAGGGTTTAATTGAGGATTCTGTTTGAGATTGATTAAAAGAGAAAATAAGAGGAATCGAGAAAATATTGAGAGATTCAAGGGTTTTGAACTTGGAACACTATGAATGAGAGATTCAAGTAGCAACGCACATGTTTGAGGAAGCATGATGATTCATGTTAGAAGAGGGTAACTCTTCATGTTTTCTTGTTTTTATTTTGGAAACTGGAACGGAAGCTGAAGTGCGAGCGCAAGAAAAAAATATATCCCACCTAATTTTCTTAAAATCATATATAGATTCTTATTGTTAAAATTTTCATTACTTTAATAATTAATATAGACACCAATTTTTCTTAAAATCGGGCATAGATTTATATTTATAAATTTGTCACCACTTTATTTTATACCCTCAATTAATTATAGTAGAGCTATTTTATTTGGTCTGGACAACTCATAGTTTTTACTCTTATTTTGAAAGGTTTTCAAAGTTAAAAATATCGGTGTTCTTTTGTGTCTTTATTTATTCGATTTGCCGTCTTATATTTATTGTTGATCCTCAAAGTTTCTACAAGTGGAGAATTTTATATCTTCTAGGTATTATTCTGTTATTTGGTCTTAATTACCCTTCAGAGTAGTATCAAAGCTCTTGGTTAAGGGCTATTTTACTTGTTTGAATGTTGGAGTCAAATACAAAGATGAAGATGGTATTGTTGAATGGTTATAATTACCATTTATGAAAGGGAAAGATGAAACAATTATTATTTGTGAAGAAATTACATTTATCGGTTTTTAGTTCTATAAAGCCGGATTCTGTATCTAATGAAGAATATGAGTTGAAACATCAACAGGTATCACTACTAGAAAATTCACTTTTAGTGAGCGATTTAGTGATCAAAATAATTTCGGTCGCTGTAGCGAAAGAATTAGCCACTAAAATTTGATATTCATGATTCAACTTTAAATCAGTCAAGAAAAAATATTTTTATAAATTTATATTATATGAAAAATCAGAGATCGAAATTTCGATCACTAATTTTTTATTAATATTGTTTCTTAATTTTTAATCCTCTTTATTATGTTACTATTTCCCTTCTAATTTTTTTCATGATTTTAATTCTCTTTTAATTTTTCGTAAAACTTTTATATTTTTACTCTTTTAATTATGTAACATATATTTATATAAAAACAATGTCATTTTATATTTATATTTGTATCAAAGTGAATTTTATTTTTATTATACAATTTTTATGTGTGCATATAATAAAATTGCATAATAAAATCAAATTTATATAGTGATTTTCTAAATTCTATTTAAATTTTTTTATATCTTTGTTATATGTATATATGTTTAAATATAGAATATAACAAAATATATGTTTAAAATTTGCAGAGGTCACAAGTTCGATTCTTAGGTTTGACAACTTTATTTTTATTTTACAAAAAACACTAAAATCATTCACTAAAATCGTTCACTAAAATCGATCACTAAATTTAGTCACAAAATCGGTCGCTAAATTTCGGTCACTAAATTCGTCGTAAAAGCTTAGCGACTAGCACTTTTTAAACTGAAGAGTTATGGTCGCTAAATCGGTCACTAAACATTTTAGTGACCAACTTTTAAGCTTTTTCGGTCACTAAATCGATCACTAAAAGCGAATTTTCTAGTAGTGTATGTGGTTTTATTCAACAATATCTAGAAGATAATATTTATAATCATATTGCTAATAGGACACATGCAAAAACTTTGTGGGAGAAGAAAAGTCCTCGTATGCCTCTAAATCATGGAATGATAAGTTTTTTTTGTTGAATAAATTCATAAGTTTGGAGTATAAGGATGGGACTTCTATTTCAGATCACTTGAGTTAATTTCAAGGGCTCCTTGATCAGGTGTCAAGAATGAGTATCAAATTTGATGATGAACTTTTAGGATTGTTCAAATTGCTATCTTTACCAGAGTCTTGGGAGACATTTCTGGTTTCTATTGCAATTTTTCCCCTAGAGTTTTTTGTTTCTTTAGAAACGGCTAAGGATGGTATTCTTCATGAGGAGACGAGGAGGAAGGCACAAGGTTCTTCATCTCAATCTTAAGTTACAAAAATGAATCATAGGGTGGTAGAGAGAATAACAAAAGCAAGTATAAACCACGATACAAGAATCTTGAGTGTCATTATTGTCACAAAACATTACATGTACAGAACTATTGTTATCAGTGGAAAAGGGATAACAAAAGAAAGAAAGGTAAGTCTAAACAAAGAGATCATGGTGATTATGATGATGATCGTGTTACTATTGCTACTTGTAATGATCTTGTTATTCTACATGATCATGAGCCTATTAATCTCGTATCAGACGAAAGCATATGGATAATTGAGAATTGTGCTACATTGCATGTTAAACCAATGAAGGATTTCTCTACGTCTTATGTTTCTGGTGACTTTGGATGGTTAAGGATGGGTAATGATAATGTATCTAAGGTACTTGGTGTTGGTGATGTTTATTTGAAAACCAACATGGGAATGCAATTGTTGTTTAAAGGGGTCAAACATGCTTCAGATGTCTGCTTTAATTTGAACTCCATGCATATGCTTCATGATTGTGGTTATGAAAATAACTTTGGTTCATTTGGTACATTTTGATGTTTGTGGTCCATTAAAGGTAAAATCTTTTAGTGGTGCACTTTATTTTGTTACCTTTATTGATGATTATTTCAGGAAACTATGGGTTTATGCCTTGATGACAAAAGACCAAGTGTTGGATAAGTTCAAAGAATTTCATGCTATGGTAGAGAGTCAGACAGGTGATAATCTGAAATGTGTTTGTTCTTATAATGGTGGTGATTATTATGGATTATTTGATGCCTATTGCAAGCATCATAGTATTGCACATCAAAAGGATCATCCTAAAACTCCTCAATTGAATGGTTTAGCAGAGAGGATACACCGAACACTAATTGAGTGAGTAAGGTGTATTCTCTCCGATGCTAAGTTTCCTAATCATTATTGGGGTGATGCACTTTACATGGTGGTGCAGGTTCTTAATCTCACTCCTATTGTTTCTTTAAACAATGAAGTTCCAAACAAGATTTGGTTTGGAAAGAATGTCAAGTATGATCATTTGAGAGTCTTGGGTTGTAAGGCTTTTGTGCATATTCCAAAGGATGAAAGATTGAAGTTGGATGCAAAGTCAAAACAATGTATATTTATCGGTAATGGGCAAGATAAATTTAGTTACAGGTTGTATGATCATGTAGAGAATAAGCTTATCCAAAGCCGCGATGTAGTATTCATGGAAGGCCAAAATATTAAATACATTGATAAGGTAGAGAGGACTACACCCAAGAAAGATATTAGTTTGTCTAATATTGATCTAGTTCGGTTACCTAGTGTTGTACCCCAAAATTTGCCCTCGCATTTTTCCTCAAGAAATCACAGCTTCAGGCGTTTCCTGATTTTTCAGATTGGCTCAAGAATCGGTCAAACAGACTTTTCTCGTTAGTCAGACAAAATTAGGGTTTTCATTGGTTTTAATGGCTCTCAAGCAGTTCATACAGTTGGTTTAGGGTTTTGATTAGTTTCGGCTCAACTTCGATCAGGCGAACGTTCTTTGGCATTTAATCAGGAATTAGGGTTTTTGTGCGCGCGTTCTCAGAAAGATTTAAATTCTACAGCACTTTTCAAGTTATGCTGAGATTTGGATTGAGTTCGCACTGTGTGATTGAACCAGTAAAAAGATACATTCAGTTTGAATTTGCAGAGTTTGGTGAAAATCAGTAAAAAGGGGAATGCGTCTGATCAATGGTTGTGATTAACTGCTGTTTTGCTTTGGACGTTGGAAATGCCAGGTTTAATTGATCAAATGCTAAAGCATTGTTTATTTAAATTATTTATTATTCTAAGATTAAATGATTGGAATTTATTTTCAATTATTTTAATTAAAGAATTATAAATAATAAATAAACAATAGGAGGAAAAATAATTAATTGGATAAAGAAACTTTTATTGATTTTTAAATTAATTGTACAATTGTTTTGTTATTTACAACAATGATTTTACATTTTATTTAAACTTAAATAAAAAAGCTATCCTAAACATTTTTCTAATCTTCAATTCTTCATCTTCCATCCCTTGCTCCAGTGCTCCATTCATTTTTTTATCTGCAAATGAAAAAAAAGGAAAGTCAATAGCAGATAAATAAATAAAAGAGACAGATAAAATTACAGTTCATCATTAAGGGCAACTGATTGGGATCAGTTAACCCTCTCTGCAAATCACGGGATTTCTCCCGGTTCACAAAGAGGGACGAATTTTTATTTTGCTAAAATGCACAAGTCAAATTATCAAACTGCATAGTTCAAATCTCAAACAACAAACTGCACAGTTCAAATCAAACTAAAAAGTCCAAATTCAACTTTCTGTCAAAAATGTCAAACTGTACAAGGCTACTCAAAGCTATCAAAAAAGAAGATTTGGAAAGATATCAAGAAGCTGTCAAAAGAAGAGACAAAAATGCAGAGAAAGCATGATATGCAAGCAACATAATTCTTCATCATTTCCCCAAAAAATTTCCCTTTCAGAAAAAAAAGTACAAAGCATAAACATTATTTTAATGCTAAACTGTACTGAAGAGAGAGAGAGAGAAGAGAAAAAGAAAGCAGGTTTACAAGGCTTTAGGCAGGAAGAAAGATATATAAAACAAAACTGAACACAGTACAGAGGGAGGAGGAGGAAGCAAAACAACCATAACAAAGATATCAAAGATAAAAACTTGAACCCTGTCAAGCCACAGCCAGAACCTGCTGAAGCCTTTTATCCCCTGCATAAACATACAAACCACGCCTAAGCATAAACCTGAACCCTGTCAAAACCAGATAAACAAACAATCTCACCACAAACCAGATAACCTGCAAGCAAGGCCAAGCCTTAAACTAAAAAAGCCTTGGTTCAAAAACTTCTAGAAGACTTTCCAAAGCCTCAAACCAACAAAGATAAAACCTGCTGGCCTCCATCAAACACAACCCAACCTGTAATGGCCTAAAAAGCCAAAACTGATAAACAAAAACCAAAAAAGCCTTAAAGCCCTGAACCAGGCCTGAAACATTAGCCTAACAAGAAACCAGAAAACCTGTGCCTCATACCTGCCTAAGCATTAACCCTGTCAAGCATATGCCTAAGGCCATAACCAGCATAGGTCCAAAACCTGCCCAGCTCAAAGCCTAAACAAAATTATCCAAACACGAAAGCCAGCATAAACTGTGAAACCTAAAATCACTGTCAAGCCAATCAAAGCCCACATAAAGCCTCAGAGAAACCCTCATCATAGGCCAATATACACAAAAAGGCAGCAGAAGCGAGAGAGAAAGAAGTGAAGAATAGGCAACACAAAAGCCTCAGAAAATCAACATCATAGGCCAATATACACAAAAGGCAGCTCAAAGCAAGGCAAAGGAAGAAGTGGACAGAAGCAACGTGCAAGGCAAACGTTCAAGGCAACAAGCATTAAAGGCAACATAAGCAAAGAAGCATATTAAACAACGAGCATACAGTAGAAGAGAAGAAGAAGGAAGTGAGTTTACAAAAGGGTTTTCAGTTCAATAGCATCACAAAACCCTAAAATGGCAAAAAGATAAAGAGTACCAGGAAGTCCATAAGTCCATCATCATCGAACCTCCGCCCTCCGGCCATCCTCAGCGCCTCCGGTCCGCCTCATCTCCATCTCCCAAAAGCCTAAGGTATAAACCCTTTCCCTTCTTTTTTTTCGCTCACAGAAACGACAATAAAACACAAAATGAGATTCAATCATGACATGCAAAGACAGTAATTAAAAAGAATCCTAAAATGTCCAAAAACTCGTTACCTCTTTTTCCATCCTTAACTGAACAGCTGTGAGGAGATGAGGACGAAAGTGGCGCCCGGTAGTCGAAGGTTGGAGGGGATCAGTGGCCCTGGGTTGGAGAGATGAAGGAAACGAACGAAGAAGACAAAGTGGAACTAGAAACGGCGCCGCTCAGCAATGTAACCCTAAAACAATTCCCAAATGAAACAAAAAGTTGCAAACCCTAAAAACGCTTATCATTTTGCCTTGGGCCTTGCCCGTTTCTGGAGCACCTAAAGCCCAAACGAACTTCCCATTCATACCCCCTGTTCTACTCATTTTTTCTTTGAATTGCATTTGGGCCTCAAACCTTAAAGCCCACTTCTGATTTTCTTTCAAAGCTTTTCTTTAACTATCACATTCTTTTTTTTTTATACCAATTAACATGAGTCTTTTTATTACATCAAATTTTTTTATAATATTTTTTATAGCATAATCCTAATATTGAATATAATATTTTTCCTCTAACTTAAAATATTTTCATTTTGCACATTAATATCTTAATATCTTAATACATGAATACATAAAAATACATTATTTAAAACATTCTTTTTTATTATTAAACTTATTTTAATTTATATATAAATTCTTTTTAAAGTTAGTGCATTTTTCTTTTCTTAGAGATAATTTGTACATAATCAATAAAATACCTTTTTCTAACACACATAATTTAAATTCTTAACATTTAATTAAAACATTCTTTTGTATATATTAAACACAAATTATAAAGTTACATTTTTATATCAAATGTAAAGTGACAATTTTCAAACTTATAATACTTTCTTTTCTTAAAACATTCTTTTTGTACATATTAAAGAAATATACAAGATTACAAATTAAACAAATATTTTAATTCTCACCATTAGGTTAAAACAATATCTCAAATAATACACATTTAAATTCACATTTTCGCACCTGTAAATAATTACATACACATATACACGTACACTTACACAATATACTTACATTTGATACATTATACATTTGCTTATTTTGTATTTTCGTTACATTTACATTTGATCAATTCGATTTGGTTGTAACTTATTGGACACTACATTCCTAAAGTCTCATCCCCATTTGTGAATTTGTACCCCCACTCCGGGATACTTATTTTGTAATAGCGTAGACTTTACATTTCCGCAATTTACCGCTTTCAAATTATACCATGTTTAGACTTAGGGTTTGCATGTACATAAAATCAAACGCTAGATAACCTAATACAAGACAAATACATGAAATCAATACACAATCACACTTGCACCCTCTAGGGTAATCCCACATGTTGCCTTCCAAAATGGGCCATGCTTGCACGTCGAGTCTCTTTGGCAAAACAAATTCAAATGATCATAAGTCCCTCGATGACGCCTTCGAAAGTTGCCTAAATGAAATGATCATAGTCCCTTCAAAACAAATTGCCAAAGACACTTGGCACCATTGAATTCATGGTCCATATGATGACCCGCGCCCGTCCCGTTAAACATCCTAAACGCAAGATTGTCCATCAAATTCAATGGTGGAACAAAATTGTTAAAAAGGGTTGAAAACATAGAGAAAACCTTTGAGTACAATAGGGGTAGACAAAACTTTTAGTTACTTGAGATCAACTTGCAAAAACACTCGCCTTCTTTTCAAAAACCACACTTCATGCACACTTTCAAAACAAACTCTCAAAAACATTTGAAACATCTTTTCGAAAAGATCCACACTTTTGTAAAACACTCAAACACGAGTCGAATACATTGGTTGCCTAAAATAAGGCATCTCTTCAAAAACATTTTCAAAACACACACACACACCATTTTCAAAGCAATCGAAAATCAAGGCAAGATATCTAAAAACCAAGTAACTAAGAGCCCATGGATAACCATGGATGAAAAGGGTGTTAATACCTTCCCTTTTCATAATCTACCCCCCGAACCCACGAAATATCTCAAAAAGGTTTTTGCTGTGCTTTTTTAACCTTTCCTTTAGGATAAAATAAAAAGTCGATGGCGACTCTTGCTCAACCGAACAAGTGCGAATACAAACGCAAAACACATAGTCAGTTCACCCACCGTATCACAGAACTGGCGACTCTGCTGGGGATTTTTACTCAAAGTGGGGTTACCTTAGGGTTTAGATCACCTTTGTTTTCAATTGATTGCTTTGTTTGCTTTTACATTTGTGGGTTTTGCATCGGAGTTTCATAGATCCTAACCTGGATCTGGGGGAAACCTTTTTAGGTAGCATAATCTGCGAGGGACCTGTCCGGGGTATACCGACATGGGTGAAGCAGTGGCTACGTTGGTGTGGCACCTTGGTCTGTACCGATATCCCTTGTGTTGAAACGGGGAGAATATGGGTCTTCCAAGGAGTCATTAAGCACCAACCGACCTTAGAACCCTAAATTGACCCAACTTGGCCATTAGAACAGTAGCAGTATGCTACACTCATTGAGGCTAAACTCTCGCGATGGTTCCGGCCGCAAGAAAAGATAGCGATGCTGGAGTTATGACCAATCGAGGGTAGCCAATGATTTGAGATCCTCTAGAACCCGGTTACTTTTGATAGGACAGGTTTTAACCAACGAAACTGAAAGAGGGTAGTACCTGAACCCCATGCAAGCCTAAACCTAAGGACTTGTTTGCTTTGTGTGAATATGTTTGCCTGTATATACACTCACTTGCTTTTTTTGCATACATATACATAACATCATGACATCATACCATAGCATTTTCAATGACCATTTCAAGGATCTCGGAGGTTCTTTTGATGCAGGGTTACGTTGAACCAGACGTCTACCAAGGGGCAAGGGGTTTCTCCTCTAACCAATGCAATCAAAGATCAAGTGCAACAACTTGAATCAGTGGCTATGACCCACTCGACATGGTGAGCTTGGTTCTAGCGGAAAGACATCCACCGGCGCAAAGATCTCCAATCGAAGATCGAAGTTCAACCTCTAACATTTTCTTGTGTTTACCCCAAGAGATCCTTGAAAGCATGCATCCACATATCATGCATTGTATCTTAACAATCTTTCCTTTTTCAGGTTTCCTTACTCTCCTGCTGTTTATTTCAGTAAGAGATGGCTCTAGAAAGGTCTGTCAAAGACATCCAAGACCAGACTGCTCAGCTGCAGGAGATGTTCCTGAACTTGTCTCTGGGGCAAGAAGAAATGAAAGCTCTCCTCACAAAGAGCTTGGAGAATTCAAACAATGCCAGGAGTGATCAGCTTGCGGAGCTGCAGTTTGATCTGACAACATTGAGGACCCAAGTGATGGGGCAGTTGGTGGGCCATATGGCTCTCATCCAAGACCTATCTCAAAGACAAGAGGAACTCAGAGTTCTTGTCCGCCAACTGCTTCCAAACAACCAACTGGGGAAAACATCTGAGGTTGAAGAGCAAGTCACCGCTCAGCCTCCATCCACTCAAGAAGACAAAGGGAAAGCTCCTTTGCTTGCTTCAGGGTCACAAGCCCATCAACAACCTCGCCAGCGTCAACGGGGTAATCGGCGTAAGCAAGAAACGTCGGGAAGACAGTTCACGGAGACTGAAATACCATCATTCTTCATACTGAAGCGCCTGATGGAGGTCAACCTGCTTACCTTAAAGGATCCTCCTCAGAAGCTCAATACCTCCTCTCCTAACTATCATCCCGACGCATTTTGTGTTTACCACTCCTACAGCCCGAGACACGACACCAACGACTGTTGGGCCTTGAAGAACAAGATTCAAGATCTGATCGACATTGGGGTGCTGGAATTCATGCCAGACGGCGAGATGAAAATCTTCCGTTAAAGGGTTCTCCACCTGAAGTGACGAAGCTCAAGCTGAAAGACGTTTGCTTCTTTTTGAATTTTCAAAGTTGTAATTTCTTTTGCTGTCAAACAATTATCTGTTGATGTTAAACTCTGTTTTCATTAATGCATTGCATATGTTTGTCTTGAATTCATCCATTCATTTCACTACTCTTATGCTTTTCTTTATGATATTTAACTCTTGATAAAAAGCTGCAAGCCTTTGGAGGGAGGATGACGAAACAATACCATGATCTTATACAGTATGCTTCTGAACAGACCTTGCTGATGATGTACAGGCATTTCTTTCAATTCCCAAACACTGGAGTTATAAGGAAGATAATCCCTAGTCAACCCCTTCGAGCCAAAGAAGTAGGAGTTTTCTGTTCTAAACGATCAAAACCTTTGATATAAACCCGGGGCGGGGTAGTATCTCAGTTAATTCAAGAAAAACGCGCATTAAAGTCGCAAACTCTCAGTTCGTAACACAATGAACGACGTCGAAAAAGAAAGCATTCCTTTGGAATCAAAAGACAAGGGTGGTTCCCTATCACATAGACAGTCAATCTCTCAAAAGAGAAAAGCCCGCTGAGCCAAAACCTGTAAAGGAGGCTTAAGAAAGCTGGGGCATCCCGCTGACGGTAATCTCGAAAAACGGGAACAGTCAGGCAAAAGTTAGGGATAACAAATCAAAATCAAAATAGTGAGGTCATTACAAAATCCTCAACAACATGAAAAATGTTGAAAAAGAAAAGGAGATGATGGTTGTCTCCCCAAATTCAACTGGTGAACCATCGCCCAAAAAGTCGTTCCAAACTCAAAACAGAGTATGACGCACAATTAACTGAGCTTAGGTATGAAGAACATCACGAAGAGCGGGTGGGTACAAATATACTTTGAGCCTTTATCCTTTGTTTCTTAAACCGTGAACCAAGCCACGTTACAACCCTTCAAAAGTACTAATTGAAGCATGGGTTAGTTCGAAAGCGTACTGTTACAAAAGGTATCCTGACTCCTGTAAGGCTTTGCTCTA